TTTCCCAGGAGAATCGCCGTTTGTAAAAATTATTGACGTCTAGGGGTCTCCTTGGTTGGCTGAGCGTCCGGGCAGCCATTTGATTGCTTGATAAGTATTGCTTCAACGCCTGCTAGACAATTATGGATCACCCACGTTCCACCCTACCTGCATTTGGTTGGTTGAGTTTGGAAGCCAGCAGATTGGTGTACTCAGTGTACTCGTTGACATCACCCTGAAACCCAACCCTAGAACCATCTCAAAACATCCACCTTGCACTCCGCCCGGCACAATGCAATGCACTTTTCCGATGAGCAGATCAGTTGGAGCCCAAGTGCCGATCGCACAGCCTTGCGGCTTTGAAGAGGTAGAACTCGAGCACACGATAGCTTTGCACCCTGCTGTTAGTTTTTACTGCAAGGCCACAAATTCTGCCGATTATGTCTTCATTTTGCTGGCAGTCGAACAATGCAGGATTTAGCACATACATTGAGTTTTGGTTCAGCTGGGTTTTTACCTCTTGGAGGACATGGCGCCAAAAGTGGCTTTTGGGTTTTATTCCAAATAAGCATAGGCTTCGTTGGAAAGTCCAGTTCGCAAGCCACCCGTAGCCTGAAAGGAGCGACATCCCTTTCTCATAAAGCACTGCACCACAGTTCCAGTCCATAAACATGGTGTGCTGATACATGTGATTAAAAACTTCCAGCCCCACCCTCGACATGCTCAAGATTACGGAATGAACTTCTCGTCGTTCCGGACAAGTTTCTGTGTTGAGATAGGCAACAGTCATTGCAGCAATGAACTTGAGCAGTACTGTAGCATCGCTTCCTTTGCAGTTTGCCCATGGGAAGCTCCGTTTGTTTTTGTACGCAAAGAAACTCTTGGTGAAAGATCTCAATGAGGCCTTCATTTTTTGTGTCGTCAGGAACATCTTGAATTGCGAGAACACATTGTTGAGCTTGATGTCTATTTTCCCCCGATTTCCGTAGTAGTCAAAGTGTATCCACAAAAAGATGACTGAGCCAATGATGTCTCGAAATAGTCCGAGGCGAAGGGTGTGGAAGCAGTCATGCTTGTACATTGCCTCAGGCCGGCTGGAATCGAAAGGGATGTCGTGCAGGTAAGGAAGTGCATTTGCATTCCATGGTCTTTGACAGTAGAGGGAAGAGAGCCACACTGGTTCATGCCCAACATCTTCGGCTGGCAAGCCTGCCTGCCCTGCAAGACAGCAGTGGCAGCACTCTTTGTCAACCACCCTGCCTTTGTTCTCATATCCCCGTGTAAGTCTGGCAGCAAATGAATGAAATTTCAAGTCAGCTTTCAATCCAACAACGGCACAATGCCACTGATGGCCATGTGCCACAAAACCATGGTGAAATAGCGACTCAAACTGTGTGGCCAAGTGCTGCATGAATTGCTCTTTAATCCCCCTGTAGTTCTCCGCAAAGGTTCCAGGAATCACTATAATGGGCCAGTGTTGTAAATAGCTGTGTCCTTTCATGTTTGTGAAGAGAGACTTGATCATGGGGTTTGCCACTCTTGGGCATTTGTGGACAGGCTCTTTCAAAAATGTTGGGCAACACGTAGAGCACGGCTGAAACTTCTTTACAAAGCCAAGCACACTCTCGAACGATAGAAGGGTTGTGTTGGATCTTCTTTTTTCCCTTCCCCTCATCCCCGTGAAGGGCTACAGGAATCACTCGGGCCAGGTCTGTGTGGTGAGCATAAACAGCGTGGGTTGGATGATAGCAGGAATATCCTTCCCAGAAAGCCTTGAAGCTTTCCATGCCTTTTTCCCAAGTTTCCTCTCCACAGACGAGACGCGGGTGATGTTCAACCAAGAACTGCAGGATCTTTTGCGGAGGCAGGTAGTGGATCTCTGTCTTCGAACCATCTTCGAGTTCAACAGTGAACACATCAATCTCAACCTTCCACGCTATCCCCAGCCTCCGCATGAACCTGTAAGCAGTTCTAGCAACATTTCCTCTCCAAACCGGCTTGGAGGCTTGTCCAAACTCTTGAAGGGCACCTTGCCGCATGTCTTCACATGTTGTGGCTGGGACCTCAGCAAAGTGCGGCTTGCGGGCGCACAACGGATCGAACTTTGGGGAAATGTATCATCATTGATGAGTGGCAATGGCACTCTGGGAATGCCACTCCATCAGCAATGGCTTCACCATACGCTTCCGCTAGAGGCCTTCTCTTCTGAGGTCCATTTTCACCTGGCATGATGGGAAGTCGTTCAACATGTACTACTGTATTACACCTTCTGTTTTTTGAGCGATGATCTCCTCTTGTTGAGCATGTGCTTACAGGCTGAAAAGCTGGCATTTTCACTGCAAGTCATTGCGGTGCATAGCCTGATGTGTAGTTCACACATAGGCCAGCCACATGTGACCTTACCCCTCAATTACTAGATCTAATTTGTTTGAACACTGCTTTAATCAAAGCAGGATGCTTGGAAACAGGCGAAGGCACAACCCTCAAGCAACACAATTGTTATAGTTCCGTAGGTCGTGCACGTTATGCAACACAAGATGTTATTCTTGTACAAAGGCCTTCACATCCCTGGTAGCTCTGGTGGCCTATTTGCCAAAAACATACTATCGACTACTTGTCCTTTGCAGCAGAGGCTTTGGCCTTTGCCTTTGCTGCTGCGGCCCTAGCGCTTTGCCGTTTGTTGGCTTTCTGCTTGATGGACCCTTGCTTGGGCAGAATTGGCCTGACAAAAGATGGGTCGAAGTTCATACAATTAGAGGAATCAGCCATCAAAAGAAGAGTCTTAAATAAGAGGGGAGGCCTCATCCGAGTCTCCAAGTTGAGGCCATCGACTGCCCTTGGAAATGCAATAGCAATCACCAGTTCATTGGTTTGTTGCGCACACGGTTTGGAACAAGATAAGGTCCAAGCATTGTTTTGGCTCGCTTGTACAGAGTGAGCATTGTCTCCTCGGACCTTATTTTGCATCAACATTCCACAAGGATAGAAGGCGTGGGCACTCAAAAAAAGCTCGGTCTCCGACTCTTCAGTGAACCCGTTAACCACACCTTTGGTGTAGGCCACATCCAACTCTCCGGATAGCTGCGTGAGGCTTTCAATGAACTGCGTCACCTTGTCGAACATCCTTGGCGAACAAAAAGTCTGCGAGGAGATTCGAACGGTATCGGAAAAGGCATGTCAACAATTAAGGGAGGCACTGTTCTTGCAAGTGGGACAATTTTGTACAGGCTTTGAACTTGTCCGCCCCAAGTTGCAATCTTGCAGATCTCTTACTGAGACAGGTCCTTGGATACATACGCATTAAGAAGTCATGAAAAATTGCATTGTGTGACATGTATTCCAGGTGAGGGTCATAATTTTTTGGCTGATTGATGATGGTAGAGCACCTAGTTCCAATTCCGGTATTCCTGCTTGCTTCCTGATTTTTGCCGCTCGTGACTCGGCAAGCTCAGCCTTGACTTGCTCAGGATCGTCAAATTCCCCCTGAGACGACTCCTCATCAGAATCACCTGAAAGTTGGGTTGAGGGCGTTGGTGAGACTTAAGCTCTTACACAGCAGAAAGAGAATTGATCGACTAATACTAAAGCATACTAAAGCTGAAACTCAAGCTTTGGTAAACCAGTGGCCTTCATCGGTTTTCAGTTTGGAAGGAGCCTTTGGGTTCTTCTGTCCATCTGTGTTCTTCTGTAACTGCTTTAACTGAGTACCCTCAACAAGGTGTTCCTGCCCCCTCTGTTTTGGAGGACCAGCAAAGTGAGACGGTTTCTCGAAACCGTCAAAGTCAACTTTCTCATCCCAGGAGATCTTTCTCTTCAGTGAAGTCGTGCTGGATCGCCTCAGACGTCAACCCAGCAGCGGAACCCAGCCCGAGAGGAAGATAGTACGAAACAATGAAAAACAGTTGTCAGAGAAATTGAAACATTATCAGACAAAGAACTTGGAGCTTCCCTCAATAGCAGTCTCTGCCCAATACAGCAACGTACGTTCATACCTGTCACGCCTGCCAATGGATTTTTGCAGGGTTAACAACACGCATGGAAGCATCAAAGCATTGCATTGGTGGGTGTTGAGTGTTGGTTTATTTACTTACAGTATCAAGTGTTGGATACCAAAAGCATACTGCTGTCCAGTACTGTCCTCATCAATTGCTTTGGGTCTTTCAACGCTTCAGCCTTCACCGCCGCCACTCGTTTCCTCGGGCTGGCAGTGTCTAGTGCTTGTTTAAAGCAATTGGCACGCAATTCAACACCCATGTTTAATCTTAGATTCTCTGGCCATCCCCACTCATTCAACATTGTATCCTCGCTTACGTATTGACCTTTCACAATCAGCTCTTTGCTTTGGAGCTCTTCCTTGATCAGTTCAACTTCCTCAACAAAGGTCTCCTTCAGGAAACAAGTTTGCGTGGGACTTGGTGGATTGTGGTAACACGGGTACAGGGCAGAGGGGAACGACAACATGTATTTGCAGCCTCCCCCAAAAGTCGGTCCGGATCAAATCCGCAAGATTGAAATACTTGTTGAAGTTTCTTCTTGCCGCCTCTTGAACTCCACATATTCAGAATGTCCTTGGAAACCTTGTACTCACCAGTTTTTTTGTTAGGTTTGAAGCATCTACTCATGCGCTGGTTGATGGCGCATTGAGAGAGTCTGAGTTCACCAGCTGCAGGGATAGCAGCGCTAGCATCCCCAATCTCCGGAATTTCTGGGTCATGTGGAGCCGAGGTGGGCTCACTGGGGGTGGCGGTCTTTGGGTGATGTGGATCCGAGGGGGGCTCGGGGCCGGCACTTCTGCAAGGCATTGCCACCGGTTGCACAGCCTCGGGGGCCGCCGCAGGAGGCTTGGCCGCTGCGGTGTGTTTATCGGCTTCTTGCACATCAGGTTGGAACAAGTTCTCGATGGAAGAAAGCATAGAGGAGTCACCAACTTTCAGTGAAGTAACCTGGGCTGGTGGGAGATACCATTCCCCCCACCTCGAACTTCAAACCACATAAGGGTATTACACGTGCAAGGTTCTATTTTACCTAGTGGCCTTGCGTTCAGGTTCTGGCTTCTCGTCCAAATCCATGTGTATTGATGACATTGCACAGGCTAAGTCAGCAAAATAGCTATCATCATCACAATGGGAATCCTGATCAAGGTAGTCCATCGATGCGTTGTCACCGTAAGGGTCTACCAACGTAGCTGTAACCTCTTCACCGTCGGACATCTCAATCTCGTTCCCTTCATTTCCCAAAAGTCTCATGCAGGAGGTAGGGGTGCCTGGCTGTTCCATCTCAGCACCACCCGGCTGAACCTCTTGGTGTTGAACCTGCGGCAATCCTATGGAAAGGCCAGGGATGTCACCAGGCTGAGTCTCTTCTTGTTCAATGTGCTCCCCCTCCGGCTGCACTGGGAAGGCCTGCCACTGGAAGCCAGCCTTCCGGAGAATCTCATCAGAGACGTCCGGATCCAAGTCATTCAGCTCCCGCTTCATAGCCTGAAGTGGGGAGCCAAAAAGTGGACTTCCAGTCAAACAGAGCTTAGCATGAACCCCGATCTAGCTTCGCTAGATTCAACAAACCACTAAAAAAAAGCTAAAGAAGGTCCCCTTGGTTTTGAGGTGTTTTCTGAAACCACTTCAGGTGACCATGACCTCTTCAACTGCAGCTGCATCCATACCCTGCGTTGGCTGCTCTGCAACATGAAAGATACCCCTGCAAAGCGTTTCAGCAGACCACATATTGCTGCGTAGCCTTTCCATGGTCTCCAATCTAGACACTAGGATGCGCAGCAGAGCCACTAAAGCAAAGCGGGGCACTTAAATTAGAACAAGTACAAACAACAATTCTGATGTGTGGTGATAAAGCACCCAGCCTCGCTACGAACACGTTTACCTCAAGAAAGTTCAGAGCACACCTTTTCACGTCAGATTCCGTCCTTACTCCCCACGTTCTGTAGGTTTGAGAGCAAACTTGTGGATCTCGTGGCAGTCCAACCCCATCAAGCTGAGTCAAAACACATCCAAAAGCATTTTAAAAAAAAAATCGCCGTTTGATTGCGAAAGATCGCCGTTTGATTGGGGAAAATCGCCGTTTCAAATTTGTGTTTTTTTTTTGCCAACATTGTTAAGTTTCCAACAATTGATGTAACATGAGGTGGCCTGCCACATGAACCCTCTAAGGGGTTTTTGGGTCCGGCGGAGCTTGCGGGGGCCTGAATTGACCCAGCGGAAACTTTTCCAGTGCCAGCCCAACAAAATTATCCCAATCAGTGGGCACAACGATGCGCCATTGGGATTTCAATAGGTACCTCAAACAAGATCCCACCGCGGCATCATTCCAGCTGGTCCATCCGAGGTCCCGAAGCACTTCCTGGAGTGGCTTGGTCTCATCCACCTGGGAGAGAGCGATCGATCGGTTCAGTGGCAGGAAGGAATTACTGATAGCTCAACCATGTATCCAAAACAATCCAAAACACACATTTAATCAACAGAGGTGTGGAACCTTGACGTTGAGCTTTGGTTGCTTTTTGTGGCATTCTGGAAGCAGTCGGACCACAGCCTTTGCATACCCTTTGGAGTAAATCCTCAGCTCCAAAATGAAGATTTAGCCACCTCACACTAGCTTGCAAGAAATACTAAAGACTATTGCCAACCCCCAAAAAAGACCATTAGCAAGACTGAAGAGCTGACTCTTCTTCAATTTGTCGGTTCCTTTGAAAGAAACCCGACCGTTCTTGTCCACGTACCTCTCACACGTCGATTCCAAAGGTCTACTCGGGCCACCCTGCACACGTTCCAAACGGCAAAATGCAGGATTGTTCGTGAGCAGCATTGTCCTCTTCGAGCTTAGACCCCCAAAGGTCTTCATGTGGAAAAAGACCTTGTATACCTAAGATTGTTTGTGTTGCCAAGGAAGGATCCACAGGTCCAAACGCTTGCTACAAGTAACGTAGGATAAGGTGGATCCCTTCACATTGTTTGTATACACACAATCCATAGCCCAGCTCTCCAAGGCGCTCGCTTGCCAGCCTTGTGTAGGCATTTCAATGCCCACAGCAGGCCCGGGTGCCAGCAAATGGCAGAGGATCCAGGGTTTTCAATGATGAATGTTGAGTTCAAGCAAGCCAGGAGGATGGCTAACAGGCCGGTCCTGACAATAGGCAAACCCTTTTGGGGGATGATGGGGGATGAATGCCACTGACTACAGTAAATTCCATGGTCAACCATTTTGCATTCAGAGTCCACAAACCACAACTTTGTAAAGGCAGTCCTTGATGCCATGCGGTTCCCACGAATTACGTTTGTGGAAGCTGTATTTCCGTATGGTGTCAAGATAGTCCTTTGGCTGGTGGCTCTGTTAACGATTGACCACGAGGAACATACGGGTGCGAAGGATGCAAAGATGTTTTGGAATTCCCCCTCCAATATCATCAGCACCGCAAGCCTTAGCTGGCATTGTTTGCTTTACCCCAAACCACCAAACCAGAAGGGTGTACCGAGACAAATGGTTTTGGACTTCCTCAAAGTTACACAAAGCCAGCTTCACCACAGAAGTCATAGGATGAACGTTTAGGCATCCCCGAGTGCACGGGCTCCCCATCGGGTGGCACATCGTACAAAAGCTCGTGGCCACGAGCTTCATAGCCAGCCAGTGAAGCAGCACGAACAATCCTTCCTTTGCCTGCAAAAAATTCTAGCACCTGAACGGGCTGCTGCGGGTCCCAAGGCAGCTCAACACGGCTCATCCAAGATGCCATGATAACCAAAAAGATGAAGTCCTCAGTTTTAGTGGTGGACAAGACGGGTTGGTGATATTCACCTAGGGCTGCACAATACATTCGAACAAGCTTCAGCAGGCACACCCAACGTGCACATCCTTCGACATGCTAAATCCACATCCTTGTAGCTCAATTTCATGCCGCTCTCCCCAGGTCACCACTTGTCAAACAGGGCGCTGTGAGCCACAACAGCTCATTGATAGTTCCACCCTCTTCTGACAAGGGGTTGATGGCGTTCGATGAAGCACTCTAATCAATGGATCTTCAATCAGGAAAAATTGAGTGCAAACAAGCCAGGCTGTCCAGCCACTTGGACTCCAAACTTTGCCAAACACAACTGGCCACGGCGAAGAAGTGGCATTAATCCTGCCAGGAGAGGATAGAAGGAAAAGACCCGGAGGAGAGAAAGGGGCAGTCCTCCTGGAGCCAATGCTGACCACCTGGCAATTTGCATGAGTCCAAGTGATGGTTCCGTTTCACAGGACATCGATCTCACTGCTTCTTTCTTCGCTGCTTTCACCAATGCTCCAATCACTGATGACCTACAGTATCTAATCCAAAATGCGGATGCCCCTGGCCAGCCTTATGTAACACAAAACAACTCTTTTGGAAACCTTGACAGGTCATGACAGTCATGACCTTGTTGGAATAGAGTGCTAGCCTCTACGGGGAATCGACGCTGGAACTCACAATTGCTAAGGCTGCTAGACCAAAATGCCGGGATAGTCCCTGTGTAGAATCCCTTTCATGCTTAAAAGCATGGCCCCTGCACACAGGTTCCCTCAAGATCAGGCGCCAGACGGTGGACAAACTCCACTGATCACTTCCGTGCAGCACCTGTGGGAGGATGTCAGGAAACACATTTGTTGCCATAACCAGGCCATGACAAACCCAAACCTTTTGGGAAAACAATCCAAGGCATGCACACTTGGCAAAACCTATTCAGCAATGCCAAGAAACTGACATTCTCCTTCTGCAAGAACAGGCTGACCTGCTTCTCCGCAATCAGGCGCATCTCCTCATCGGTAGTCACTTCACCTTCAGCAAAAGCCGCACCGCATTGCTTAAAGAATGCATCCTGCACAAGATTTGCAAACATTGATGGATGATGGATTTGATGGATCTAAAGTTAAATCACTTTTAAACTTTGGACATTGCAATTGCTCCTGAAAGGCACTTTGCCGTCGAAGGAGCGGAGCAAGCCTCTCCTCAAATACATGCTTGATGGCATTGAACCACATTGCCGGGAATGAAGCCTCAGGACAGTATCGCCCAGCGAAGGTCTGCGTTGGTCCCTTGACCTTCTTTGACTCCTCCACTTCCAGCTGCTTGCCCCTGCGCTTCTTGCCACCAATCTCCTGCGCAGGAACTGCCGAAACGCCGGTCTCCTGCACAGAAGGCTCATTCCGCTGCCGCTTGGGCTTGGAAGCATTCGCTTCTTCAGCAGGTTGGTCATTCTTGTCGGCTGCCTTATTTGGCCGCTCTTCCTCCTTGGCAGCCTTTCGCTTGGACTTCGACTTGGCCTCAGCCTTGGCTTTGGCCTTTGATTTTGCTGTGGCCTTGGCCTTGGCCTTGGCTGCCCTGGCCTTCGGTACTTTGGCCTTTGATGCTTTCTGTTCATGTGGCTGATCTTCTTCGTCAGAATTCCGATCACCCAGGTCTTTCTCCTCCTCAGGTTCCTCTTCCTCATCGCCAGCCGCCTTGCGGAAGTCGGCGTTCAACTGCTCACGACGCAGCAAGAGTGGAACCTACAGGGAGACTGGTGCCACAAAAACAATACCCCATTGGGACAAAAGATCACAAATCACAAAATCAATTTCTTTCAAGAAAGGAAGAGCCTTGGCATTCATCAGCTGGGCAACATCGATATCAACTGAGCGAGGATCCTGCACATTGCCCACGGGCTTTGAAGGCAGTGGCTGCTCCGGCACATTGCCCACAGGCTCTGAAGGTACAGGCTGCTCC